TTGTTTAAGAAGGCAATGCTTTCCCACAAAAAGATTTGCATTAAAATAAGATCTGGAAATTCCCAGGAGAAACTGGGCAGGTGGGTGATCGAAGATAAGAAGTTCAGACCTGTGTAGAGAGAAATACCTTGGGGATGCAGCAACACTTAAGCATTGGAGGTTAATTTCTTTTGGGGGTCAGCTCTGGGCTGGGTGCAGCCACCAGGAAGGCCCCTTTAGACAGAGTGTTGTAAAAATTTATTTCATTCTGAGGCTTCCCATGAACCCAGATAAAGGCTCTGAACAGGCTTCCCAAAGATGTGCTACATCGGCATGTGGATTATTTTGAAGTGAAGGCCATAGAGCTCCTGTAGGCTCACAAAATTTTTTTTACCTCTTCCTTAAAGAATATAAATTTTAGACCCTACCCACAATAAAAATTATCACCTGAAATATCTTTTTATGACCTATATATAGAATGGAGCAAACTTCTAATTCCTGAATATCTCTTCTTCTTAATGTCTTTCAATGACTTTCTTCCTCTTCAAAGCTGTAAAGCACCTTAACTCATCCTTGGCTCAGAATGCCATATATACTTCATTTTTTCTGTCTCTGAACATCTCATGTATGTGGCGTCTCTGACTCATGTGTGTGGGGTTCCCATAGGTACATATGCCATTAAATGAGGTTATTTTCTTTTATTAATCTGTCTCATGTAGATTTAATTATTAGCCAGAAGAATTTAGAAGAGTAGAGGAAATTTTCTTCCTTCCCCATAGCTCCTATTTGCCAAGGGAAAACAGGCTTTCCGTGGTCTGGGATGGGCTTAGAGATGTCTCAGAGACATGGTATCTTATTCCCACTTTATAAGGAATGTTTGACATTATCATTTTGCAGGTGAATGTCATTCCCAGTGGCATGGGAGTTTGGCTCCCTTTTCTTCCACCAAGGAATATGGGTGCCCGAGAGAGCAGGTCTTCTGCCAGCAGTGAGGATAGGGGAAGAACGAGCCCCATGCTTCTTCGATGGCATGGCCTTGGGGCAGAGAGAGCAAACACACAGCAGCTGGCATGAGCCAGGTTCACCAGAGGTCTGCTCCTCAGCAGGTCAACATCTGAGTTTTGAGTTAGGGAAACTAAAACTTGTCGTGATGACACATTCGTGTGTCTTCTTTATCTCTCTCCTGGCATGTATGGTCTACCAGGGTGTTATCATTGTGTGCACATAGGCACATGGGCCCTGCTGTCAGCATTTCAGTTAAGATCCTGTCAGCATTTCAGTTAAGATCCATGCAGCAACACACAGACATCTGAGGGTGTCCTTGTCCAGCCATATACAGCATGTGAAGAAAAAGTGTTAGGTGGAGATGCAAGATATGACCAAACCATGGGTATGAAGTAGGACTAGGAGTCCCTGACCCAATGGGCCACCACCCTGGGTTAGTCATTTGAGATCAGAACGCTTGAGGTAGAGAGTGTGGGCAGCTCAAGATAAACTTGTGGCCACTACCTAGGTCACGTCTCATTAGGACCAGAGGGTGGGGTGTCTGAATGTCGCCAAGGACATCCTAAGCAAGATGGGATGCAAAGAGCTCCAGGGAGATGCTGGTTGTCTGCCTGAGCTGGGAGGGGAGGAGCACTGTGGGCTGCTTTAACCGTGTGCTTGATTCCTGCTCCTTTTATCTTTATGACCTAGATGCATCCTCACTGGCAAATACTTGCATGTGTAATTTTACCAAACATTACTCTATGTGCCTCCCCTGGCTATTGGGAGTGTGCAAACGCACACCCCTCTGAGCAGGAAGCCTGCACACACACTACCTCCTTTGCAGGCTTCTAATCCAGATGTTTTGGGCCAAGGACCAGATTTAGAATGGGAATTGCTCACAGTTTTAGGATTTCTAAATGATCCTTATGGCCCGAAATTACTTGGGAAGCTTTAGATGTGTCATCTGCAAGGGGAGAAGATGCTCAAGCCGTGCCTATAGAAAAGGCAGCTGCTCATACTTAAATGATATAGAAACTCTTACAAGTTAATGCCATACACTGCAGGTGGTAATGGGAATCGCTCCACCTATGTGAATGTAATCTAGCCATGTTGAGAAAAACTTAAATTACACACTGTTTTGTCTCAAAAATTCCACCTGTGTAAATCTATTTGACAGAAATAAAAGTAACAGATTGCAAGGTTGTATGTACAAGGATGTTTATTGTTTTCAGTGACGAAAAACTGGAAACAACCTGAAGGCCCGTCAACAAGGAAATAGTAAATCAATCAGAGTCCATTTGTACTGTGGAATATTATGCAGCAATGTAAAAGGATGAGTTAGCAAACTAGCTAGCTGTTGAACTGGAGAGAGGTTCATGATGTAGTGTTAGAGAGGCAAATTGCAGAGACATAAATGTGATATGCACGATTATAGTATTTTTAAAAGGAGTAATCAAACAAAAAACTCTCCCTTATATATCTGAGCATGATAAAAGTACAGAGGCTACATCTCAGGCAGGAAGGAGGGGTGTGGGTTAGGGAAGGTAGAGGGGGTGGCAAGAACAAAAAGTCATAGGAAAAATGAAAAAAGTATACAATAAAGTTAAGAGAAAATTTAGAATATAAATGCTCACCTATATTATTACTGCAAATATGTACATTTGTATATGCAAATGAGCAAGGACTAGGAGGCTGTAGGGGAAAATAAAAACAGTGACTTAATCAGATGCTGGGATTATGGGCAATGTTTTGTTTGTATGTCTGTTGTAATTTTAATGTCGTTTTTACAATAAACTTATTTTAAAAAATCAACAATCGAAAGGAACGAGAACATGATGGTTGGTGAAATTATTCACATTTAAAATGGCTCTAGCAAGAATAATTCAGAAGTTCCTCACAATGTCTTAGACATAGTAGGCATCGGCAACCCTTTGCTAAAGTGAAAAACCAGACTCAAAAAACCTTGACTTGACCTTATAATTCGTAAACATGAGCAAGAATATGTAAGCACATACGTTTTCAATTAAAAGCTCCATAAATAAATTTTGCATTTGAATCACCATGTACAAATTCACTTCACACCGTGCTTAAATCTGGTTTCTGGAACTATTAACAAAACGAGAAAAGACAGCAATTACCGAAAATATACTACATCATGGCCCAAGTGTTTTCACATTAGAAATGAGGTCATTTTGCTTACACGGTTGTGCTTGCCCTTGTAATTAAACTCAGATGAGCCAGGACCTGAAATTTCAACATCAATCTATAAGTATGTGTTCTTTATGTCTTTATTGCTATTGTTATCATTTAAAAAGTAAAAATTAAAAATCGACGCATAAGAAATAACCTCCATGTGTTCTGTACTTTAATTTTGCTCTCTGACTTAGAACCCAACAGGACCCTAAAAGTAAAAGATGAGCTCAGTGCTGGCAGCATGAGAAGCAATGTTCCTTGCCAGAGGGGGTGGGGGTGGGTCCTGGTGTGCTGTTTCAGTGCGGGGCGGGCTTCTCCCCACGACCCAAGGGCAGGCTGCTCCCCTGAGCTGCCCCACCCCCAAGTCCGCCACCCTATTTCTATGTTAAAACCTTTCAAATGTATCCTTGAGAAGAATGCTGATAACAGAGGAGGCTCAGAACAGGAGGTACCATTATCAACATTCATGTTTTAAAATACTTAGGATAAATTGTCTCACCACGCACTTTTTTTTTCTCCTCTTACAGACTCCTTTTAAAAAGAGAATTGATAATATTCAGCAGCTGTTATCTCCCAATATGGTTCAACAACTCCTGAGGTCTCTGAGAATACCCCCGAGGGCCTGTGGGGGTGTCTTAGAGCATTAGATTCATTATTTTTATTTAAGCTGTATTCATATTTTGTAATATATATTTTAACTAATAATAAACAGATAAAAAGTGATGTAACTACTCTTGCTTATGGCCTAGATGAATTCTTTATTAGGTCTCCCTAAAGACGCAGTTTCTTTTCAACCTTTTTGACTAGGAGAAATTATTTTTTTTGTAGTGATAAGTGGTTCACAGAAATGATGGCCCATTGCCAAACCGGTGGTAAAAATACCGCTGGAGATTGTGTGTAGTCCCTATGTAAAGGGAGTATATTTAAAGATGTTCCCATGCGTGTACCTAAAAACATTCACATAGTGTTAGGAGAACATTAGAAAACAGGCATGCCACTTAAAAACATTTTCTTAAATACGTGGACTGTTTCAGAGGTGGGAACAGCATACACGTATTCTTCTTGTGGAAAAAATCTTTGTGCGATAAACACATCCTGCTATGGATCGAATCTGCTCTGATAATCAGCTTGGCAACGTTCTCTTATAAGATCATTTCTGGTCTGTTGTCTAGTTTTATTTCTGTTTTAGTTTAATCTCTTTCTTATATTTTAGTTTAATTAGAGGAATTAAAGGAAACCTCACTGTAACAGGGCATCAAAATACATGGTCTTTTTATTTCTCTAAAAGTGGAGTTTTCACAGTTTCATTAGAGATATGTGTTTGGATTTGGCCTTGAGAACCATCAGAGATTACAAGATAGCTCTGGGAATGCAAAGAGCGGACAATCTGCAGTTAGACAAGCCAGGGCTGAATTCTGGCCTTGCCACTTTCTAGCTACTTCACCTCTCGGAGCCTTAGTTTCCTCATCTATACAACGGGAACAACACCTACCTCTAAGAGTTGTTGGGAAGTATTGTGAAGTGCTTGGCACCGTCCTTGGCATGTCCTTTTATCATTTATTGCATAATACGGTGTGCCAGACACTCCACTGGGAGCCGAGGATGCAGTGGTGAACACGCGCCCTCCGGTAGAGCCTGCAGGGGACTGATACACGAACATTTATCAAACACAAGCAAATACCGGAGTGGAGACTTGGGAGTACTATTTGAAGCACTGAAGAATCACTGCCCTTTGGTACCTTCAGAATACGCATTGGTGTGGGACTGGGGGAGAGAGCTGAGATAACTCGCTCTGGTTTGCTCGCCTGCTCATCCTCGTGGCTACCCGCCTGCTTGCAAGCTTATTTCATGATAAGCCACATGAAAACCAGCAGGCAGAGCATTAGGGACTCGTCCATGGTGACCCGGAGTCCTGCTCCCTTTTCCAACCAAAAATCGCAGTGCTTGATGGAGCAGAGCTCCCTGATCAGCTGCCACAGGATCCGCTGGTAAAGCAGCTTGTCCTGTTTCTCTTGGGACAGCTCCTCCTGGTTCGCAGCCTGGGTGGCATTGATGCAGCTGGTGACGAACTTCTCCTTGGTCACGTTGGCCTTGGAGCAGGCGTCGTAGTGGATCCCATCGGGGAACTGCCAATAGTGGGCCTCGTAGTATCTGTTGCCTTCGTCTCCGAAGTCGATATCCAGCTTCCTGCCCTGCTTGATGAAGGCCCCGGGGCGCATCTCCGCCGTTTGGGACTCTGTCACATGGGAGGAAGTACTCGGCAAGGTCTTCCGGTTCCACTTGGTTCTGTGCTTTATGCCTCTTGCCTTGACTGTGGAGAGCTGGCTGAAGAGCAGGACACAGACAATGGCCAACCAGCATCCACCCAGTTGCCTCCTCATTGTGTCAGAATCTGCAATAGCAAAGAATGGGACAGTGAATTTCTGTGGGGTTCCCTGTCTTTCCTGGCCCCCATCCCTGTGTATAGATTTTAGACAAGGAGTGCATCCTTGACTCATTTACATTTTTCCAGAAGCATAATTGTTTTCCCGTGCTTGGGCCGTACAGGGTTAAGTCAATACCAAGCTCCTTGCTTTTGCCTGGAATTACATCCATTCAGGGCAGTAATCCTGGTTTTCTCAGATGAGAAGCTGCAATTGGCAATTACCAGGGTTTTAAATGTGAAATCAAGGCATCCCTGAGAGGAGTAAACAGTAGAAGAGTTAGAATCAGAGGCTCCTGGGCATAGATTGTATTTTTAATTTTCCCTTTTTAGTCTCTATTGCTCTAAGCTGGCAGTGTCTTGGGCATATTCTGCCATCCATTCTAATAAAGTCACTGGCTGCTGATCCTGAAAGCCTTTAAGGTAATGAGAGACAGAGATGGGAGTATAGTTAAGGGAATCACACTTTTCCCGATGTCCAAGAGTAATCCTTTCATGTCTCACTTCTGGGCACAGGTGTGACTCCATCCTCCTTCCCTGGCTAGCTTCTTATTACACACTTACTATGTCAGCCACTGACATTGTCTAACTTACTTCTTGCATGGGGGAGGTACATCATTAGCCCCATTATATAAAAGCCATACTGGGATTCAGAGTAGTTAAGTAATTTGGCAAGCCTGCACAATAGCGGGTGGCAGATTTGAATGCAGCTCTGTCTGACACTATTCCCATGTGCCCACTCACCATGCCCCACTGCCCTTCCGGGCTGCAGCAGGGGAAGGTGCTCCAAGTTTGTGCTTTTGAAGCACTGGGCATAAAGGACAGCCCCTATGGACCCAAAACTGAGCAAAGAGCAGGGCTGGAGAGGCATTTCAGATGAATTGAGATGATGGGGAGGACAGAGGGCCTGAGGGAGCACTGAGGGTGCTGGATCAAGGTTACTCTAGGGCATCTGAAAGGCTGCTAATTAGAGAATATCCTTCCTATCCAGCCCCAATCTGGTAGTTTGTCACATCTGGCTCCTGAAATCACAATAGTTATTGTGAAAATCCACCTCCCAAGGTCAATTGTTCGGGGCATTCCAGCACCTGGACCTTTGTTCATGTGGATCAGGGACACAGGAAGAGTTACTACAGCGGAGCATGCTTAGGTTCTCTCTTAGGTAAGATTTACTGTAAGTTCGTAAGTGCCAGAGCTGGTGGAGGTTCAGAAGTTAGCTCACTTAGCCCCTAATACACCTCCATTATCCCCTTGCAGTATTCCTAAAAGTTATCAGTATCGCTTTGTTAAAATGTTCAACCCTAGTGAGACACTGGTTCTTATGCAGAAAAACAGCCAAAGTGCAACCTAAGTGTATTTCTAGTCTCTGGATGTCTGCAAAGAGGCCTCTGCTAACTTTTCTTTATGTGCAGGCATCACCTGGTCTCTGCCCCAGGCTGAGCATGAGTACGCCTGGCAGCAGCCCGAGTACCCATGATTTCAGCACCCCACACCTCCCTGCCCCCTAATCATAGTGAGATCAGAGCTACTTTCTGAGATCAGAGATCCAAGCATGAAGCAAACATTCATTAACCGCCTAAACAGAGGTCACACCCCATGTCATCAGCCCATAGTCTTCAGTAGGAGAAATCTTAAGAATAATAACATCAATTACAAGAGCATCAAATTAAATAAAAGCATAGAGATCTTGAGAAATAAATTTGTCTTTCTAGGCAAGGGCTTAAAAGCAAGAGAAAATCCCAACCAGCCAATCCTAAAATAGCATTTTATCATAGCACCAAAACATAGCCATGCAACACCAGGATGCTCAAACGTTCTCACTCCTGACTTGGGTCCCATCGCAGGAGATGGGGTCAAGCAGTCACTGCATGGTTTGCAGTCTGATTGGAAATGAGCAACCCCAATCACAGAAATAGAATTCATGCACAAACTCTGCCTCCTCACCTACCTTGGGCTCTCTCTGGGAGCGTACCTCTGGAGCCACGGACTGCACTGTCCTCTGGCACACCCTCTTGGCAGTCAGGCCTGTCTAGCTATGTAGAAGCTGCAGAGGGAGTGGCAGACCTGCTTCTCTCCAAATATGGCAGCCCTTCCCTTCCTGGTAGGACCAATCAGGGGTTGCCGGGTGCTCCTTTGTCTTGAGAAGGATCAACCTTCTCATCACTCTTTACTAATAAACACCATGTGATCTCGATAAAGTTCAGCAAGAATTGAGAGTTGCCTTTTATTTTATTTTATGCATTTATTTATTTACTTATTTACTTACATTACTATTATAAAAGATATCATAAGAGATGCAAATGAATAGCCAGATGAAGAGGTACGTAGGGGAAGATCTGGAAGTGTTCCAAGTTCAGAAGTCCCCATGGAGTTTGGGGTGCACGACTGTCCCCACATGTGGATGAGTTCACCAACTTGGAAGCTCTTTGAACTCCTCTGTGCCAGGAACTGGGGACAAAACCTAAATATTATAACGAAAGATGCTCCTCTCACCCCATCAGGATGTTACAAGATTTTAGAAGCTCTGTGCCAGAAATTGGGGACGAAGATCAAATATATATTTCTTGTTATGTCACAGCATCACAGCTGGACAAATGGATGAATGCATCTGTCTGAAGAATTTAGTTAGAGCTATTTTTAAGGCTGGTATTTCCAGAGGTGCCCTTCAGAATTGAAATGAGAAGTTTTAGAAGGACAATGTTTCTCATCAATATCTACAACAGGGTGGTTTAAAGAGGTCTTGCTGGATATGCGCACTGTTCTGTACTTTAAGACCAGAGAGCAAAGGAGCCTTTGCTGGGCATCCTTTGTGGGAAGCGTCAGGTCAGGAAGAGGACCAGTGTTCAACTAGCTAGACCACTGTGCCCTCCACCTGGACTCACAGGGGCTGTGCTTCTATTGGGTAGAGGGAAAAGCAGGGCTAATGGTGGGCGGAAGGCCAAATCAGAGGACTTGCCAGCACTTTGGGCTACTGGGGTCATCTGGGAAAGCTTGAACCAAAGCTCAACAAGTTGAAGATTGGTGGAAACCCAGGGGAGGAAGACCAGTGGAGACGAACCAACACCGTTCAAAGATAGTGGGGGCTGAGAGTGAGTTTCTTCAGAGTGCCTCTCCCTCTACGTGGCGCCCAGTGTAGCGGGGAGGAGAACCAGAAAAATCAGTCACTCCTGGCTTAAGGGGCTGTGCATAGTTACTGGATGACCATTCCTTATACAGAAGGGACTTGTTCAGGTGTCCCTGTTACGATCATTACTGCAACACAACATCAAAAGTGAATTGTGGAGGTGTGTATGAAGCGAGAATTGCTGTGAATAAAATGTGATCTTCATCCTAAATGTGACTCCAACAACGTTCCTCAGGTTGCTTCAAAGCCCTTTTGCGAACCAAATTAAGAGGTTACTTCTGGGCCGACCAGCAGATGGCGCTAGAAGAGCCTACAAAGACTTTTCGTCCCGGAAGTGGGAACCCCCGCTGCTCAGGGGGCCCTTGAGAGCTTCTATGCTCTGGTTGGATTTGCAGCCTCCAGTTGTGCCTTTCTCTCTCTTCTGCCTTTACTTTACGTTTTATTTCATTTTCCTCTAAAAAAAACTTTACCATTTTTATCTAGAATCAGAGACTTTTTGGTCTTGTGAACACACGCAAACACATTAGAAGTGCAAATGTAATATAAACTATTTGCAAAATGCAGAAGAGAAGAAAAAGAAAAAAAGATCTCTTAATATTTTATTATCCAGAGACAAACGTTAGTAAAATTTTGTTCATTATATAGATGCTTAGGGTCATAATTGGGGTTTGGGATATTTAGAGCTGGAAAGGACTCAGAATCCTCTAGTTCAGCTCCTTCATATTGTGAGATCATGGGACCCAGACAGGCCCAAGGTCACCCAGCCAGGAGGGCAGTGCTGCCCCTGAGGGCCCATTGCCCTGTTCTGAACTTTGTGTACCAATCATCCTGCTTGTCTCTGTCTAGTGCCATCACCTCCAGGCCCCCTCCGTTCCTTTCTTTCTATCCCTTTCTGAGCAGGACTTTGCCCAGAGGGTGGTGGGAGGCTGGTATAGTGCTGATGAGGCTGCAGATTCCTCTTGCCATGGAACAAAGGCTGTTCTCAGAGGCACAGAGGAGTGTGGAAGACTGAAAATGTTCAGAAGATGGGAGGAGCTCTAGAAGCTGCAAACAGGGCCAGAAAATTGTTAAGCAGATCAGAGAGTGCAGAACTGCTCCAGTCTCTGCCTGTAAAGATGAACAAACAACCAAGGAATTAGTGCAAGAACAGTAGTCTCTTTAAATGAGCTGAGGCTAGGGCCCAGTGAATTGTGTCTTCAGGCATCGACAATTTTATTAGGACTATAATTTAATGTTGACCATCTTTGTGAAAATAGGGAGAATAAGATTGAGTCCACAGGGCTGGGTGCTCCATGATGAAAAGGACTATGATATATTTCTCTCATATATGTGAACAATAAGAAATAATGTGGATTAACCAAAAAAGCAACAAGGAATGGCTGAGTTTCTAGAATGCATGAGTGGGTCATTATTATGCCAATTCCTAGTTTGATTAGAGCTTGGACCTTTGGAAAGCATTTATAAATAAATACAGTGACTGTTAAGCTACAACGCCAAACTCTACCCAGAAAGGATCGTGGCGGGGAAGATCACCTACCATAACCTGGCTTCTTGAAGATTTATCGCGTGTCTGTTATGTGCTTGGGATCATGTTGTGCCAAGGAAGCAGAGCATAGAGATGGATAAGGCAGATAAAAGAGCTCATTGCTTAATGGTGGAGAAATAATTGAAATGTGTTTTGGGAAATAATAACTACTCAGAAAGCTGTGTAGCTGTCTAACAACCGTACTCGATTTGTTTCTTTTTATTGGTCTACTGTACTCACAGAAAGGTACACACATCCTAAGTGTACAGCACTATGTATCTTTACAAACTGAACACACTTACGTAACCTG